CTCTCTCTCTCTCTCTCTCTCTCTCTCTCTCTCTCTCTCTCTCTCTCTCTCCATATTTATCATTTTTATGTGGAGGGCTGCTGTGCCTGCATGTATATCTGTCTGTGTACCTTGGAAGCACTTGGTGCCCACAGAAGCCAGAAGAGGGCCCAGATCCCCGTGGAACTGGAGTCACACAGTTGTGAGACACTATGTGGGTTTTGAGATCTTTTGTCAACAGCAGCCAGTGCTCTTCACTGCTAGCCCATCTCTCCAGTCCCTGTGAAATTCATTTTTTAGGTAAGAATTATGAATGGAATTGGGCAAGTACACACCTGTCACCCCAAACTCAGGAAGTGGGGAAATGACGGTCACAAGTCAAAGGATAGCCTAGGTTATAGGAGGCCCTGCCTCCAAACACTGAATTAAAAAAAAAAAATTACATACATGAAACTAGGAGGAAAAAAAAATGGGAGAAATGGTATTTACAAAAATCTCAAGGCATCTTCTTATCAGACACTAATTACAATGACTTGGCAGGTTACCACTCTGGAACATGGTAAGCACCTTAGCTTCTCTGGTACTTTTCCCCAAAGTTTATCATCCAAATCTAATAACAATGGATGTCAGAGAAGTCCCAGTGGAAAGCAAAGTGCTATATACAGAACATGTCCTTTACACTTCACAATGTCCAAGGAACAAAACCAAATCAAAACCACCGATAGCTGTAGATCTTGGGAAATTTAAGAGACCCAGTGACTGACTGTGGTGAGAGATGTTCCCATATGTAACATGGGAACCCACACCGAGAGGTGTTTCCCCTAGAAAGGACAGCAGGAAACACTGGCAAGACAAAACCAGAATCAAGCATGCTCACTGATGCAGAATGCAGAGCCAACAGGGATTTTTTGGTTTTGACAATTTGTGGGGCTCAGAACAGAGCATCTTTAAAGATGGACTAACACATGTGGTTCATCCTCATCACAATTCAGGAAACAAACATATGAGAGAAGATTGAGAATAAAAAAACAGACATGATAAATGCCAACACCCAGGGAATCCAGGTAAAGGACTCATAGAAATTCTAGACACAATTTTGTAACTTTTCTCTCAAGTCTGAATTTTCTTTCAAAATAAAGAGGGAAACAGTGAAATATATAAGGCATTGCTGGGTAGTTCCAACAGCAGGAGCAGGCCAGGGCTCAGGAAGGAACATTCTAGCTCCAAGTGCCTAGTTGTACCCCGTGGGAAGAAAAGCTATTTTTCTTGTCCGTGGGAGGCAAAGAGTAGCAGAAGTTTTGTGGGAAGTGGGCTTCTTTGAAGTCTTGACATGTCTGGTGAGGGTGGAGAACTGTCTGTGTGTGTGTGTAGGAGGGCTTTAAAGTTTTTGACTAAGGGAGAGGAAATCTCAGAATCCAGGAGGAAAAAAAAAAAGGATGTGATATCACCTCCAGCCGGTGTCTATCACTCTTGAGTCGTCACAAATCCTGAGTTAGTCTATGAGCAGGCTGGGCACTGGTACCTTTTACACACTCTGACAAACCCCAGACAAGCTGTCCTAGAAGCAAGAGACAACTTCTTGGAAGGGTAGCATTTGGGCCTGTAGACAACCTCATTAGTTCTCTTACTGTACCGGCACCAAAGTATTGTGCCTGAATTCTTCAGACACACAGACACACACAGACACACAGACACACAGACACACACAGACACACACACACAATTGGACCATACCTAAAGTCCAGGTGCAGGTGAGCAGTCATAGCGTCCTCTCCTGTATGTTGTCTCCGTTTGCTAAATTACAATCATTAGGATTTCCCTATTTTATAGTTGATCTGACTCACTGAAAATACAACCTCGATCAAAAGGTCCCAGCATTATACAACTGAGCCCCAACCATTAAGAAGTCCCTTTAATGGAACAGAACATATTTTAGAAACCTTCCAACCCCTGCTTATCTTTCTTACCCAGAGCACTGAACTATGAGGCAAAATTGATGAGAGTTCATGTGCTCCTTCCCCTCCCTCTGGAAAGCCTGGATCCAAATGGTTCTGGAAAGATATTTATCTATCATTATTTTAAGTGACTCCCAAGGAGAAGCTATTAATTTTTCAACAGCATACCTTGTCTTTACAATGGTCAGCCAAGGAATAATTCTGGTTTTAAAGTGAATTTTTATTGGGCTTACACCCGTTCCTTTTTTCTTGTGAGTACTGTAAAACTCTGAGGGAACAATACCAATTCCCTCTGAACTACTCCCCACCCCTACTCCTTCCAGTGCCAATAGGGATTGAGTCCAGAGCCTAATGCTTGTTAGGCAAGAGCTCTACCATTGAGCCACATCCCCAGCCTCCCTTTCAACTATACGAAAAATCTTTCATCACAATGCTTAAGCACTCCAGTGGAGAGACAAGGCCAAGGGTTCTAGAACACTGTCAGGACTACTAAGCTCAGTCACATCCAGTGTGTGGCATTCATAACAATGCCCTCAAATGTCCCAGAAAATATTCTATTGTGCTCTGTATTTCATGTCTGAAGTTACAGGGTAGTGATTAGGAATGGTGGTGCATACCTCAAATCTTAGCACATGGGAGGCAGAGGCAGGTAGATCTCTGAGAGATGAAGACCAGCCTGGTCTGCATAGTGAATTCCAAGTCAGCCAGAAGTATAAAGTGAGGCCCGGTCTCAAAGGGAAGAAAAGTTCAAGTTCACCTTGGTTTTTCCATGTCTTACGCTCAACTTTTAAGATAGTTTTAGCATTTACAGGAATGCTTTTTACCTGGGTTGTTCATTCATGTACAAGGCCAGGAGGCCAGATAATGTCCCCCGTAATTATATTACTGCATTTAGAGCTTGATTTTTTTTACCTGGTGTTACCAGTTCCTTTATAATTTAGGCATCACTTTAGATATCGTCATACCAGTTCATATTAGCAAAACCACATCTAATACAGATTGTTATGGGAACTATGCTGATCCAAAAAAGTACCCAAGGGGGTCACGGTAACTCGGTATATTGATGCATATAAAAGAACAAACATGGTCTACACATGCTTGTATAGAACATGGCTGAGACAGTATAAGACAGAACCTACAAAGACAGCATCACAGGGAAGAGGTTCTGGTGTTGTTACCAAATGGGCATGATTTTGAACAGGCAAGAAGAAGGGGCCATATTAGGAAAGGCCATGCACAGAAAAATAAGAAAGAGAAACAAAACTATTGAGTCGAAAAGCTTAAAAGGTGACCTGGAACTGTATGCTGGAAAGTCCCTTTAGTCTAGAGACACAAGAACACTGTCACCAATCTTAGGCCTGCATGACTGTGATGCATCCCAGAAAGTATAGTTATAGATGAGCGTCTGTCTCATGGATGGTGACTGTAAAATACTCTATAACAAGACAGGTAACTCTGCCTTTCCAAGTAGCTGTAGCAGGTATTTAACTTGCATGTTACGATCTCTAGATAACTGGAATTAACTCTCCAAATGTAGCCTCAACCTTACATTTACTTATCCAATCTAAGCAAGGAGGAAAAATAGCTATGTTTTAAAACTCATGTAATGACGGTCTACAGATGTGTACCCACTTGTATACCACCAGGCACTAAAGCCACACAGATGGCCCTGGTCAAACCCAGAGGGACACAGATAAAAAGACATGAATGCAGGAAAGAGATTAAGCAGCAGGCAAGGGGGTTAGACAAGGGAGGGGAGAGAGGGCAGGAGAGGAGCAATCAGTGCGTTATGTACAAGTATGAAAGCACCAAAGAACGACGACTTAAAACATGGAAAAATAAAAGGAAAAAGAAGTTGATTATAGCTAGGAGTCTGTAAAGGAAAAATAGTGAGCCAGTATGCCATCCTTGATATCATTAGTCTCCTGAATAACTAGGCCAGAACAGTAAAACTAGGAAAATAAATTAATAATTGGAAATACTATCTGAAGGTATAAAAATAACCAACCCAAAATATTTTTTTTTAATTTTATATTTCTATGTCAGTAAATTATACAAAATTAGTCTAAATTTTTATTATTTTATCTGCAGACTTCAACACTTAAGACTCTAAAAGATGCAGACTCAGAGTCAACATACTTCCTTATGGACCTTCATTTACATGGAAGGTCTTGTATTTCCTGTATATATACTCAAATTTCCTTTATCTAGCTAACAACCTACGAATCCATATGCACAAGGTTTTAAGTGACAGACTGTCATAATGCTAGAAACTACTATCATCACAGGGTACTTGACATTTACTGATTCAATATAACATAAGCAAGATGAAAAAGATAACCGAGTAAGAAGCATAATCACTGCATATTGCAAGCATCTAGCTTTAACCTAAGAGGCTCAGAAGATACAAGTGCATATAAAGCAAGCATTTCCTGAGAAACTTCTTGTTACAAACAACTTCTGTAACAGCGAAAGGGAAAGTAACAGAGCTTCCTTCCTTCAGGTGAACAGGCTCTGTTTATCCCTGGTCTTCTTTGCTCCACAAAGACTATTTGTCAAAATTTGAGAAAGCTAAAACTCTTTGTAACTAACAATTGCTTGTGCTTTAATCACCAATAATTACCTAACAGCACTAATGAGCACAGCGCCACAGAACACTACCAGCTCTTTCCAGGTAATGGCTTTCTGAGCCGAGGGCACTGTGGCGAGATCTAGTCTCATTTTCCTAGAGTGTAAGTGGGTGGCAGGAAAACTGTCACGTGAGGAAGATCTTCTAACTCATGTGAATATAAATAGAAGACCCATTATGTATTGATTACAAAGCAGCAACACAGCAGGTTAAATAAAGCTTTATGTGGTACAGTTTACTGTAACAGCCGTCAGCTACTATCAAAGTAAGTAAAGTAACTTACTGAAATCAATGAGAAAGCGTCCAAATCCTTGCCTTTGGTGCTGGGGCATGATCATTATGCAGGACACATTATACTTCTGCTGGCAGAGCTTTTCCTACGGGAAAAAGAAGCATAGCAAGTATGTCAGAGCTCTGCTGCAGTGACTTGTAGTCCTTGTAAAACTATCCACTGAGGTCAAACAGTGGCTTGGGTCAGGACCAACCTGAGTAAACCTACTGTGCTAATCAGACTATCAAGTAACAATGACCCATCCACTCTGGCTATGCTTCTCAACTGTATCTTTATTCTACAAAGTTAGAAACATAAACTGCAAATAAATCTAGGAAATGTGTGCAGGGGGAAAGAACGCCCACAGTAGAGAATGACCACTCTCTTTGTTCACACAACTAGAGAGAGGGAGAAAACACCACACACTCCACCCAGTCCACCCAGTGGAGTACGCTAGGCTTTGGTGGGCAGCCCTGCTAAACGATAATCTACAACTCTACAACGGCAAGTTGTCCTCTGCCTCTGAGCAAATGCCCCAGTGGCACTAGAATAGGGGACATGTGAGTGGATGTACACACAAATATGTCTCCTGGGAATCAGAAGGCCAAGTAAAATGCTAGAGAAATAATTACTCTGCATCTCAAACTGGGAAAATCAAACAACAAAAAAGACATCAACAAACCTCAGAGCCTCTGAACAATAGTGGGAGTCTAGGTAGAGGGATAGCTCTGAGAGCTAAAGAGTTCACAACTGCAATACTGTAGTCACAGTATACAGACACCACCAAAACCTACACAGAGAAGATCTGGAAAAGGCTTCTAAGGCCATGAGTGCTGTGGCCAAATATAAACCACAAACGAGGCTGTTCACAAATAGAACCACATCAGAGGATCACTTCAGAACACTCAGATCTTTAATGAACTGGTTTCAAAGACCACAGGAAACAACTGTGGAAAAAAGGGAAGAATAAAGGAAGATGAGCCCCACTTTTGTGTACTTGTAGCTGTCTGTGGCATCTCTAAAACTCGAGGAAGTAACGAGAGTGCGTTGTCTCTAGAAGATAAATTGCCCATCACTGAATGTGCACACCAATAGTAAAGGTTCAAATAATTAATTTTACTGTGCAAAGTAAGATAAATGGGTCACTCGATATAAAAAGAGATATACTCTGGGCAAAGAGGATTTATATCCTTGATGCCAGTCCTTTCTCTGTCCAGAACTGTTCTCACCCCTGAGAGTTCACTGAAATATAATCCAACAGCAATCCGCTTCCCTTTCTTAATAGATGTTCCTAGGCTGGGGAGCTAGCCCAGTCAATAATTGCCTGCTGTGCCAGTGTGGGCCTCCGAGAGCATGAGGCTTAGAACCACATTAAAAAGAAGGAGGGCCAGGTGTGGTGGTGGTCCCCCCTTTTAATCAGCACTCAGGAGGCAGAGGAAGGCGTTTCTTGGTAAGTTCCAGGCCAGCTTGCTCTACAAAGAGAGTTCCAGTAAAGCCAGGGCTGCTGCACAGAGAAACTGTCTGGAATGGGTGGAGAGAGAATGTGGTGGTACAGCCTTTAATCTCAGCATTCAGGAGGCAGAGACAGGTGGGTCTCTGTGAATTCTAGCATAGCTAGAGCTAAATAGTGAGATCTTGTCTCAAAAAAACAAAAACAAACAAACAAAAATTAATGAACCAAACAAGAAAGGCAGGCAGGCAGGGAAAGTAGCTGCATACTTATACTCCCAAGGATGAGACAAGTGGACCTCTGGATGGTGTATGTGTCTGGGGGGAGGGGGGATTGAGGGATATATAATGGGACAGTCTTGCCATGCAGTCTAGGCTGACCACAGACTTGTGATCCCCTTGTCTTAGCCTTCTGAGCATTTTAGATTAGAGGCATATGCCACCACATTGGGAAGATAGTCTAGCTTCTTATCCCCTGTGAAAACAGCACTTGTATGGAGTGTTTCATGAACATTAAAGAAAAGCAGATCCAATAAAAGTCACTCATCTGCTGGGTGTCCGGATAATTACCATCTCTGTTTATGTAACCATTCTTCGGTGCACACCCAAGGACAAGTTTAACACCTGGCAAACATGTTCAAAACCAGCTCTCTTTCAACTTGCATGAGTTATCAATAGCAGTTTCTGAGCAGAAGGTGAAGGAAGAGCTCTGAACCAGTGAGAGATGAGCCACTGCACCTTAGTATGCAAGCTCTTCCCCATGTTGACTGCTGGAGACAGGTAGGTTTCCTATAGGCAAGACTCCCTTAGAGCATAAAAACTACAGCACAGATCATAAGAGGCAGCAGTGGAAAACCAGTCGTTTATCAGCTTGGCTATCAATTGTCGGTTGTGCTTTCATTTTTTTTTAAATTATATTTATTTCATTGGGTGTGGGTGTGGGTCAGGGTGGAGATGCATGCATGCCACGGTGCATGTGGACAACTTCTGAGAGTCAGTTCTCTCCTATCAAGCTGATCCTGGCCCTTTCTCACTAGCCATCTCAGCAGCCCCCAGCCCCACCAATGCTTTAACACACTGGACATCGCAGACCTCTGAGGGTAGGAAATAAGCCAGAGAGTCTGAGGTTCTAAGTGCTACATCACATGCACACTCGGTTTAAAGGGAGAAAGAAGCTTAACATTTGGATATCAAAGCTGCCAGGCAGTCAGAAGGGGGTAATTAAATGTCACATGGTCGCTTTAGTACAGCACATGGTGCTGGGGTTCTTTACATACTTCTTAGGCACCATTTTTGTTGTTTTGTTTTTGTCTTTTCAAACAGGCTTTAAACAAAAAGCTGAGGTTTTCAGAAGCATGAACCACTTAATCAAATTATTGTCATAAAAAAAAACCCAAAACAACAACAACAATAACAACAAACCAACCCTGCTCAAAGAACTGAGCTCCACTAAAAACATTTGCAAGAGAGAATGAAGGCCATGCTGGCTCGAGGCTTACCTTAGAGAAGTATCCAACCAGATGACAGCCTTTTTCATCATTTTTTGTAAGGACATAAAAAAGGAATGGCTCGACATCATAATACAATGTTTTGTGGTCCAGGAAGAGCTTGGCTAACAAGCAAAGGTTTTGGCAATAAATTTTGCTCATATTTCCATCAACCTAGCAAAAGAGAAACAGACAACATTATTTAACATAAAAGTATCATTAGAACATAAACTTGCTTCTTCTGTATATCATTTTAAAAAGTATGTAATTTTATTTCTAAATCCTACACTCTAAGATTAAAATACTCCATTAAACAAAGACAGTGTTAACCAGGGAACGGCTGTTACTTGCAGAGTCAGAATTCCATCTTTCCTCTTGTTAAGGTAAATTCAAGACAGCTAACGTCTCCTTAAGCTCCTTCAAGAAACAGCAACGCTAGCAAAGTCACTTTTGCTTGCAATTTATTAGGAGTTAAAATTTATCAGGTATGCCCTCTTACTTTTAAATTGTAGCCAAGTAAATCTGAAAATTAAAGAAACAAATAAAAATTTCATCATGCATGTTAAATTTCTGTTATTTTCAAAAGGACTTCGAATAAGAGTAAAATAAATGAACTGCCTGTGTTATTCTGATTCTTCAAAAGTGTGGATTAATTGCAGAGGCATCCATTTTGGTTTTATCCCAAGTATCATTTTAATATAACTGGAGAAGATACAATCTCTGTGTTGGGAATACTTGCAGAAAGAGTCAGGTGAATTTAAACCTACAGTAAGTATCATGATTACAGTCTACTTCTCTTAAAAATAAAAGACTCAAGCTGGGACACTGAGGCCTCCACAGGAGCTAAGGCACAGACACCAATGTCTCTGATCAAATGTAGTGACTTGCTGAAACAGAGAGCCAAGCAGACCCTGCACTCTTCTTAGGGGAGACAAGTTTTGCTAACCCGAGCTCTTTAACAATGAACTTGACCATTCCCGGGTCTCCTGTGGACCATACTGGTTCTTATACTGCACAAATTATTTTTAGATTTCATATAACTATTTCCCTTGGACAGAACCTTAGTCCCACACATAGCAACATAATCAAATATAGGCAACTGGCACTGAGGATACAATTCTCTCTTTAATTAAAGGAAGTTTTGATGTATTTGGGAGTATGGTCCTTTTGGAAACAGTGTTGTACATACGAAATAACAGCAATGTGCATCTGTGCATCAGAAACTGAAATGAAAATGCTGAAACAATCTCTCATCAACTCAGAAAAGTCTAAGAAAAGGACAGATACAGAAGAAACTCACGAAACCTGTATTCTGTGATTACTATTTACTTGTTTTTAAGTCACAGAAAAGATCTAAAAGTTTCCTTTCCATAACTGATACCTTCAATCAAGATGCTAGAATAGGGCCTTAGGGTTTCCTCCTCACCCTCAGTGTAGGAATGAACTACACTTCTGGGCGACTTTCATCGCTGTGCTTTCCAAACACATGCCTAACAAGACTGATTATCCTGCCCAGATGACTTCCTGATAGATTAGAGTGTCCACACACAGGCTTACTCATGATGATTTATTCAATAATTACTTAAGGCAAACAATGTGTTTTGCTGTCTAGGAAAAGATGAACAGTCATTTCAATTTTCTTTTGGTTAGAGGAAAGGCATTCAAGGCATCAGGAAAGGAGCAAATAGTAAAGCTGACACAACACAAAGCCTCCCTGAGAACAATTCTGCACCTCGCCTCTTTGGGGCTGCTGGAGGGGCATCCTGACAGTACATCAAGTCAGGTAATCTATACTTGGCTATCCTTCACACCAGGAATACTCAGTAGGAGCTGGTCCCAGCTTCCCACCTTCTTTCTGGACAGGGATATGTGGCTATGACTAGAGGCACTTTTGGTTGTCACAAATGGAGTGGCAGCACCACCAGGAACCAGGAGGTAGATGGCAGGATGTTGCTAAATACCTTAAAATGTACACTAAAGTCCCTATACAATATATTATTCAGCTTGAAATGTCAGTAGTACTTGGGCTGAGAAGCTTGTGTTTGGCCTTTAATAAGAAGTAATAGCGCAGCCTCACAAACAATTCCATTTGCCCTTCAAGCTCACTAGAAAGAGCAGAAAGGTGCTTTAAAAAAATACCACAGCTGTAGTTACCTGAGCAGTCTTGAAAGGGGAAAAAGAAATCTGTCTGAGAAGGCTCTTAGTGACATGAAAAACTGACGACCTTCCCTTTATTACAATGGAGAGACACTGCAGTTCAGAGAAGAAAGCAACTGTGCAGCAGAATGATACACAGGAACATGGAACATGGGCATTTTGAAAGAGAGACCCTAAAGGACACTGGGTTTCAGAAAAAGAAGACATCAGGTCTGCTGTAGAAGAAAGGCTTGATCCAAGACCCTGAAGGGTAAACAACACACCAAGATGGTAAAAAAGACAATACAGCCAGGCACAGAAGTGTGCAGCTACAGTGAGGAAGGAGAATAATGGTGAGAACAGACAGTGATCCTGTGAACAGACAGGACCATGAGAGGAAAACTTGGAGCCCTCAATATGCAACTGATCAGCTAAACTAGATCCCTGAGCCTGGCAGAAGCCTGGCTGAACAATGAAAATAAAGCAAAGACTTACTGCTACTACATCAACTGTGAGAATACAAAATGTCTTCAAGAAACCCACAATGACATCTACGTGAACACAAGGGCTTCCTGTGAATAGCAGGGTTCTCTGGGGTAGCTGTCCACAGAGACTGGAGAAGAGTCCTTACATCTGCTGGGATCTCTCCCCAAGGATTTACCCACCCTGGCAAGAACTGGATGGAAGCACAGGTGTTTGTGTGCTAAGCAGGTATGTAGAGCTGTTCAATTCCCTGGAAGAGGAAGTGCCTGCCAGATGCTGGCTGCAGCTGCTAGACAAAGCTAATTTCTCCTGCCAAAGAATGTGGAATTTACAAAGAGCCAAGGAGATCACTAACTCACTGGTGAATATTGTGCTGTAGAAAGGGATTAGAAAAAGCCAAAAAAGTTGATGTGATGGAGTAAGAATTCTTCATCAGTCTAAATGGTTGCTTAATGTGGTTAGATAAATATTCCAAACCATGGAGCTATTTTAAAGAACAGTATGAATTCCAATGCCAAGACTGAATGCACACTGTACTATCCATATGCAAACCATCTAAGTACACAGTCAACAGTTAGGAATATTAGGGTTCAAAAAGATGATGTTTTTGTTTATACATGCTTACCTCAAATACTGAAAGGTCTTTCCTTCGGTAAATTTCATTTGCTGGAGGATGAAACCATCCACACTTTTTTGAGTGTCTTAGCAAAATGTTTTTACTCTTCATATATTTAAGACAGAATTCACACAGGTAAAGCTTTGGTAATCTGTCAAAGTTTAAAAATCAGAGAGGCTATCAGAGTGACTATATTGTTCAAGAGAGAAAAGCTAAACACTGTTCAGTGTTCTCTAGGACATAAAATGTCTATAAAATCTTTTGATAACATTTTTAAAAAGGAAAAAGAAGCCAAGTATAGTGGCACACACCCTTAACCCCAACAGTTGGTGTCAGAGGTGGGAGGGAGAGGGTCTCTATGAGCTTTAGGGCAACCTGGTCTACACATCTAATTCCAGATCAGCCAGAGCTACATAGTAAGAGCCTGTCTCTAAGAGGGCACAGAGCGTGTGTGTGTAGAATCCAGTAATCAAGAAATATATCGATCTTAAAATATTTTAAATAAAACTCATGTGTTCAGATTTTACTTTGTGATCAACCACCAAGGTTTCCAGGCACAGAGCCACCACTTAAAAAATCAATTCAGAATGCTATTCTTTAGGGTGACCAAGTACATTTTAAAAAATTCAGATTTTATGTTGTATTTCCAATAGTTTTAATGCGGAGTGTTGTAACTAGAGTAATATTTTATTTATAAGTAAATTTATTATCTTTAAAATGATATGGATACCTATGAGGCAAAGGTCCTAAAATAATGTGGCTTTTATTTCTGCCTCTAGATGAGGAAGATGACATTTATCATCTCTCTCTCTCTCTCTCTCTCTCTCTCTCTCTCTCTCTCTCTCTCTCACACACACACACACACACACACACACACACACATGTAAGTGTGTGTGTATGTAAAATATAATAGTCTAAAGCAGCTGACGAAAGGCTGACAGTCAAAAGATCACATTTGTTTTCTACCAATTCCACTGCTGGTCTTATCTTTAAATTAAAAAGTGTTTTGGGTTTCTGTCTGCAGTTTTATATTCTTAACTTAGTTACCTGCACTCAGTGATGCAGAATTACTAATCACACATTCTTTAATCTTCTGAAAGTAACAGTACATAGCACCAACAAAGGGCTGAGGTATGCTAAGGCACATGCTATAGACATCTACTTCAGTGATCTGGCCATCAAGTCTTTCCAGACACTTTAAGCTACATGCACTTATTACACAGATACATGAATTATGCGCACACACGTGCATACGTGGTATCAGGTGCTACGCAGTGTGTGCAGGAGTTAGGCAGACAGAGGCCTCACTCTCACTCCTATCACCTCATCCTTATTCATGAAATCTCAGCTAAGCTCCACTGAGACTTAGAATCTTCTTTTTTTTAAAAAAAAAAAAAAAACATAACCATTTTTTTGAGATGTGATCTCACTTTGTAGTCTTGTCTGGGAGGTAAAAAACCCAAGATTCTACTAACACCATGTGACTTGATGTGAGCACCAGAAGAGAGGAAATGTTGGGTGATAAGGTTGGTTAGAAAGACACCTTTAGAGTTAATCTTCTCAACATTTTCTCTTCTTTTTAAAATGTTGGCTGCAAATGGCTTTAAGTGATTTGGGAAGAGTCTCTATAAAAGTTCTTGCTGCCTACTACTTCCTCTTAGTTTTTTTTCTTTTTTTTAAATAGGTGGTTTTTTTTTTAAAGATTTATTTATTTATTTTATGTACAGTATTGCTGTCTTCAGACACACCAGAAGAGGGCATCAGATCCCATTACATATGGTTGTGGGCCACCGTGCGGTTGCTGGGAATTAACTAAGGACCTCTAGAAGAGCAGTCTTAACCACTAAGCCATCTCTCCAGCCCTTCCTCCTATTTTTCTATTTTGCTAAATTTCTGTGAGAACTATGAAAAAATAAGGTATGAGAAATTATCGACAAAAATCTACATCCTTAAGTAAAAGAAAGCCAGTATAAACGACTATTGTTTTCTCTGAGTTGGTTCTGTATCAATCCAGCAACTGTCCTATTAACCAAACAAAATAAGATGGCCTTAAGTGCCAAAAAAAGTTTATTTATCTTGTGTGTGTGTGTGTGTTTTTTTTTTTGGGGGGGGACAGGGTTTTTCTGTGTAGTCCTGGCTGTCCTTGAACTCAGAGATCTGCCTGCCTCTGCCTCCCTGAGTGCTGGGATTAAAGGTATGTGCCACTACCACCTGACTCAAAGAGAAATTTACAGTAACTGTGGTTCTTAAGAGTGACACACTAACAGTACAAAAACACAGTACAAAAGTAAGCTGATGGCAAACACTTCTGACTACCAAAATTTATATTCATTCATTCATTCTTTTTGAGACAAGTTCATGGCTATCAACAGAATATGTACTGACAAAGATGGCCTTGAACCTCTGATCGTCCTGCCTCCATTCTGAGGTGCTCAAGTGCAAGGTGTGCACACTGTGACCTGTTTTATGTGATACTAGGTGACGGAACCCAGGCCTCAACATACTCAGCAGGCCTCTCTCATCTGGGCGACATCCTTGGAACCCAGGTGGACTCCATTCCTGCTGTAGAACCGAGCACTCCTTCCCCACCCAGCCTGCCAGGCTCTGTCCGTACCTTGCATATTCCTGTGGGTAAGGCGAGGAGTACCAGGTTTGGATTTCGTATTTTCCGAACTCTATTACTGAAGGGTATCGACCACAGTCTTCTACTCCACTTTCACACTCTATTTTCTGATAAACAAGGGCAACAAATCATGATAAAATACGAGTTCTAAAAAGAGAGAGTTATTTCATTTACATTGTTTCTCCTTTTTCATTTGAAGCTACCCAAACATGCCATTGATCTTATTATGAATCTTCATGTTGTTAAAACAGAAAACATTAAGCACCTTTGTAAATAATTCATATGCACGCAAAATAATATCCTAACAAATATGCCAAGTGGGTAATAAGTGTGATGCAAGTAAATCCCAAAGTCTATACAACACACTGCAATGCATCTGAACTGCAATTAGGAGACGGCACAGCTGTTGCTCCACACCTTGCAGGCCCCTGCTCCTACAGGAAGTTGCATGTCAGCTGCTGTGAGTTATCAGAGAAGTCCTGTTTCTTCCCCTTCTCCCTGGAAGCAAGCTACATGAGCCTGCACAGTCACTGCAGTGGCCTCAGTGTCTACTATGCTGTCTGGCATATAAAATGACATATTTCTTGAACAAAATCCCTAGCTTTGGGGCTGGCAAGATGGCTTAGGTGAGATATTTGCTGCCAAGACTGATGATCTGATCTCTAGAACCCACATGAAAGAAAGAGAATTAATTCCTGTAAACTGTCCTCTGACCTCCATGCCTGCACCATGGCACTGGTATGTGGGCCCCCTCTCCCCTGTCAAAGAGATTAATGGAATTAAAAAAAATGAGCTTTGTCATGTTATAAAGGGCTTTAGGGTTGCATTATCTTTCAGACTGTGACTATTGTCCCTTACTTTTATGTAGGAATATCCTCACTGTGTAGGCAAAGAAAAAATTTAAAGAGAGAAATCTGGCATTTGCTTTAACTGAAGGAGAACAAACATGAAGTGTTCTGTCAGGGGGGCATAAGGAATGACAAACCACACTAGTTCTTCAGCGCAAAGGCACCAGTCTTCAGCATGATTGGACGCTGCTTAAAAACAAAGCTAGAAGCCCACAGCAGACAGCTTGACCTAAAGGGAATAGGGGATGGCTTGCCACACACTACCGCCTACTGACAGTAAAACACTGTAATTACTTGTATGTCTTTGAGAAGTCTATAACCTTACTTCTTCATGTCTGCTGACAGTAACCCAAGTCAAGCTGACATGTTAAGTGGAACCATTTAGAGAAATTACTAGACAGAAAAAATGAAGATGACTTCAATTGATTATAAAAGACAACACTGCACTCATCAATGCCAGAAAGTTAAAAATGGACACATTTTCATATGGTTAGCCATCTGTGTAAGGACTATCGGTAAACTGAGATGGGATGAGATTTTTGGTTATAATTTGAAATTGTTATTTTCCAAATGTGGATAGAAATTAATAGAAACCTCTTTTTGTTTGTTTGGTTTTTTTCGAGACAGGGTTTCTCTGTGTAGCCCTGGCTGTCCTGGAACTCACTCTGTAGACCAGGCTAGCCTTGAACTCAGAAATCCGCCTGCCTTTGCTTCCCAAGTGCTGGGATTAAAGGCATGCGCCACCACGGCCCGGCTATAAACCTTTTTAAAAGCTCTATCTTATTCTTTATTCTGTTTGAGAGTGTGCATGCATGTGTGCACCCATGCTGCACTGTGCTTCTGTGTAGGTCAGAGAACAACTTTTGGGAGCTGGCTCTCTCTTCCCAACAAGAGTTTCGGGGATTGAGCGTGGTTGTCAGGTTTGCACAGCAAACGCCTTTACCCACCAAGCCATCTCACTGCCACTATTATTATTTTTTTGGTTTTTCTCTATGTAGCCCTAGCTGCCCTGAAACTCTATCTGTAGACCAGGTTGGCCTTGAATTCAGAGATATGCCTGCCTCTGCCTCTGAAATGCTGGGATTAAAGGCATGTGCCACCATGGACAGTTAATTATTATTCTATCTGTATAACTAGTACTGCTTTGGTCTGTTTTGTGAGCTCAGTCAGTCTTTTTTTGAAAAGAAGAGCTAATTCTACATTTAGCTCTTGGGGGAGGGGCATAAGCATTAACAAGTCGCAAAGGACGTTACAGCCACAAAGGACCCTACAGCCTCACTGCAAAGGTTGGAAAGCCACACGACTCTCATTACTGCTGGGGATCTGGGCCTTACCTCCCAAGACAGTTCCTGGGCCTGCTTAAAAACGTCCAGATCCTCTTCAGTCACGGTATCCTTGTTTCCCATCACACTTACATCTGTACTTTCTTGTTTGATGCTTATTTTAATTTCAGTATCTGTCATTTAAAACCAGCAGAAAGTGTGTTCACTGATTTGAAGCATGGGTGACCAGTGTATATTACCAAAAAACGGTACTGAGTTAGCACAGTGGGCAATGGGATCTTTTTTCATTGAGCAGTATAAGTTTACATAGCTAAGCCTTGCTCACAGATCCAGCAGTAACTCTTTCCCAAATATATATATATATACACACACACACATATATATGTGTGTATATATATATGTATATATATGCATATACATTCACCTTTCTATAACAAATATGAGGGAAAGTAAAAACAATACAAAATGAAACATTTTTTTCCAACCAAGATAAGAAGTGATGACTAGCTATAACATTACCATCATTAGTTTTGAGCTCATAAAATCTACCAATTTCCAAATGACATATTTTGGCTTTTTCTTGGATAAAGGGTAACAAATGTAATGGGCCAATTTGTTCATTGAACATTTGAAATCGGTTTCCTCCCTAAGGTGGATGGGTACACATGCAAACACACTCAAATCCAAAGCACACTCCACAGAATCACGGATCAGGCTCTGCTGAGACGGAAGCAGGATGAACTTTGTCATGAGAAAGCAATGGAGCAGAGAGGGAGAGGCAGAGCTGACACCTGGCTGGAAGCACCGCCAGCACACGCCAAGGTGACACTGGCTATGAGAGGCGGCATGGGAGAGAGCACGCAGAAGCATGGCGGTGGCTATTCATGCGGACTACAAAGCCAGGAGCAATGCTACGAAGGTATCTGGAGGGGTAGTGCCTAGTGCCACTAGGAATGGGAAATAACTAACAGAAGGCGGAGAGTATTAGTTAGAAGAACACTTTTGGAGGTTTAGTCAGCATTAGGAAAAGGTCAAAGTCTCACTGCATGTGTGTCAAAGTGAGGAGGACAGAGGAGAGCTAGAGCCTGTCATGGGCAAGAGTTGGTTTCTTAGCTCTCTGGGGTTGGGGGAGGGCGGGCGCAGGTTGGGCTGGAGCTTTCACCTTTTGCTTACCATTATCCTGATCAGGGTTAATCCTTCCGTCTGCCAAGCTCCCCTTCCCTGGTGACGGGGTCCCCATCTGAGGGGTCACTTTATATTTTAATCTGCCTAGCATCCTGTGCTTTTTAAGAAAAGTTGTTCGCTTGAAGTGAGCAATGGCTTTAAAAATATGTCCTCTAGTCATCCCCCAGCTACAGGAGGAGCGAGAGAGAAACCTGCTCCTAAAATCTCTTTTTCCAAAGAGACGGGCTTTAGCTTTTGCCGTGGAAGAGAATTCAGTTTTACGACGCATGCGTTTGGGTGGTGCATAACTTGGGTGTCCCTTTTTGCGAGACTGTCCCTGAGTGGTATAGATATGAGAAAGTCCATCAAAGAGTGCCTTCAGCTGGCTGTTGTTAGTAAGACTGCTAAAGGAGGGCTCACTGGACTGGCTGGAAGAGCTCTGGGTGGAGGTGGAGGAGGTGGAAGTGCTGGACTTTTGTGAACTGGGGCTCTGACCAGAGATGGGGGCGGGGGGCGGAAGTGCAGAAAGTGGAGGTTTTAGCTTTTGTGTGGTACCTGTAGCCAACACATGAGAAGTGCATGACTGTTTCTGAGAGACCTTTTTCCTTGGACGATAGTGCTTTGAAAAGTCTATTATTTCACCTCGGGATCTGCGACCATCAGGTGATGGTGTAAAAAACTTAGTAAGGCCATCAATGAGCCCTTTGGTTTTCTTGTTAACTTTAAGTGTAGAGGCAGAAATGTAGGTGGAGGAGGTGGTGGTTTTGGTGGTGGCACCAGGCCGGGTGGGGTCTGTAACAGCCAATCTGCTGCTTGAGTCCTTCCCAGACGCAGCATGACCAGATGAAGGTGTGGTACAGACTTTAGTCTTTTGACCCCTACCAGGTGACCCCCTTCCTGTGAATGCATTCATGGATCCTTCATCACTGGTTACAGACCTAGGCAAGAATTTAGAGAATAGTATCAGCATTAAATAACAGAACGATAAAGGCATCTAATAACAAATCTATAGAAACTAGATGCATAGTCAATGTACTTGAACTTGAGAAGATTCACTGCAAACTTAAGAATGGGTTTTGTGGGTGCCACCACCTACGTGTTGCTTGGCTGGAAAAGATAATAGATCTTACTTGTGTGTCAGGGTTCTCCCAGGGCCTGTCTGACAGGTACCAGGAGAATCCATGTGGACCCAAGTACAGTACAAGGAAGAAGAATTTTGCAGATACTAAAAACACCCAATACTTTCTGTATAATTAGACAAAAAACAAGTCATTCCCAGTGTTGTTACAAGTAATTATGATTTCCTGAAATGTCCTTTAAGAAGTCTTAGAGGAAGTAGGTCATATGTGTGATCCAGAGTAGAAGAATATCCTCATTTCTAGTTAGAAGTAATTTTTCACTTAGTTTGAAAAACTATAGAAGTACAATATGGGTGTGTCTATAAATTTGTACTAAAAAATAAAAATAAAGGTATACTTCTCTAGTTTATGCTTAGCATGATAAACAGCCAATAATACTAGGAGAAAAGACAATTACAGCATAAAATACTGCTGAAAAAAGGACAACTGCAAAAAAACAAAAACAAAAACAAAAAAAAAACTGAAGAAATGATTAAAGAGAAGCTGCAGCAGGTGGGACATGGCACGGGAAGTCTGGTGAAGAAGCAGCACATTTACCATGGTCATTACCAGACACTGGGCGGAAGAACCTCTGCCTCCTACTCTGACTGACATTTCACTTCGTGTGATGTTGGGTTCTGGCCATATTGCTGTAGGAGGCCACTCTACAAACACAGCTGCCAACATGAATGGCAGCTGACCGCTTGCACCTCCTTTGGGCAGACTTGGGGAAGCTACCCATGTTGCAGGAGGAATTTATGCAATAGAACCATTTGCATATGATCATGACAATGCTGAGGCTCAGAGTTATTCATTTAGCTGAAAGCTAATGGAGAAATGGAAGCCTGAGAATGGTATGAACGAAATACCAGAACACCTTAAATAATTACAAATAGAACACGTTTTAGTGCCTATCTTGTACACAAAGATTTAATGAACCAATTTCTGTAAGGTTCATCTGAGGTGGCTCAACTGCCAGAAACTTTGCCTGGTACCACTATTTCAGCCAAATCAGGTGAACACTGGAGATCTCTGGTGTCACTAGAAGACACAGTGAGGGTTAGTAACAAACAACTCATCCAGACTAAAATGTCTGCATTATAATGCTGCATCTGGACTGGATCTGGAGTAGATTGGCCAGGAAGGATAATAGGCTTATAAAGCATGTAAAAGAAAATCTCCCCAGACTGTCTTAAAAATTCCTGAGCTCAAAGGACAATTTTGGACAAACAAGAAGTTAGGATCAGTGCCAGGTGCAATTTTCAGCTGTGTCCTTTGTTTAGAAAGTTTATATTCTAATTTGGATTTTATAAACGGACCTTGAGGATATGGTCCCATTTCAAGAACAATGCCTACAGAGGAAAAATGAAAAATCCCATAATTTCTACTTCAAATGACACTAACATGAAAGAATTTATTCATAAATGTTTTATACTTGTTTCTAGAAATTAACAACCAAAAATCCATTTAAAAATATCTATCATTCCAGTTAAAGGGTTTCTATTAAATTTCACTAAACAAAACAATAACAACAACAAAAAAACCAAAAACCCCAAAAGCCTCTAGTAAGGAGCCTGCACGTTCTACTTCTCCTTTGGAGGTGAAGTGCAGACGAGCTTCCACACAGTGAACTTCTTCAGGTGAAATAAGGGGGAAAAAGAATATGCATGTAAGATTCACGGTGTTTTCTCAAGGCGGGTAGAATACCTTCCCATATATAAAGCACAGGTCCTCTGTCCTTAAGCCCCCAAGACAGCCTGAGCTGTCCAGGAACTCACTCTGTGTAGACCAGGCTGGCCTCAAACTCTTTGCCTCTCAGGTGCTGGAATTAAAGGCGTGTGCTACCACGCTCAGCCCTGTGTATGTGTTTCTTAACACTGACAGTTGAATCTATATTCTATAGAGGTTAAAAATGCATTCTTTGCATATTTTTTTTTAAAGCTAGCCTTTGATGCCAATTAGGCAACAAAAAGAAGTTGGAAATGGGGCTATCATAGTAAACTTGGGGTTTACTGCAAAATATTTTATCTGTATTTCTGCACACACTTGCACCTGCTGAATGGCTTGGTCTAACTTTTTTACAGTATAGTCAGTTACAGGTTTCTCAGAAGCTACTATTTGGAGAAGAAATCTGAAAAGTAGTAATATTACATTAGCATCAGAAGGGAGAGTTATTTATTTTTTTTAATGTCATCTGGAATGATAAAGAAACTCTCTAAAGACATGAACAAAATACTTTTTGTTAAAAAAAATTCCTGTGAAAATATTTATAAAATTAAGCTGTTTTAATGCTCAGCCAATAAAAAAGGCTGAGGAAGTTTGCAGTTCTTACAACACTTCCATCTTGCTGTTTGAAATATGTCACTCGGTATTATAGCTACTGCCAAGAGAAGACCCCAAAATACCAAGTGTAGTTACAAATGCTATTTTTGAGGGGAAAATCCCACAGCTTATGCAAAAGGAAAATACTCCTTATTGAGTTTAGAAAAATTATGCTAAAAAAATCTGACAAAATTCGAGGGGATTACAATTACCTACATTTTTAAAAGCACAACATAAAAGATTTCTTTTAATAAGATCTCAACCTACAACAATCGTTGCTTTAATTTATTTTTCGGTCGTCCAATGGGTTTTGCATATCGCCGTTTTATTTGTGCAGCTTTCTCATGAAGTAGTTTTCTTCCCTTTTTCTTTGGTCTGCAGACTTGGCAAATCCACATCCCTGAATTAATATATATATGAAAAAAAAATTTAATGTTTCACTTAAGTTGAAGATATTAAATATAAACCTGTAGTTGTAACCTGACCAAGGACGCCTGTATGCAGATCTTTCTCTAGAAAAGTGGGTCACTCCCTGTTGCTCTCTTTAGAAAAGACACTGCTGAAGGTCAAAGACCCCAGGTCAAGGTGGTAAGAACAGAGAGAGGATGGCCCTGGTTTAACTTCTCTTCCCTAAAGCTCTTCCCCATTAAGCCACCCACCACCCCATACTCACCCAGGGAAATGTGTGTGTGTGTTTGTGAATGTCTGTCTTTCTGTCTGTGAATGTATGTGATGTATACATGCTCAAGAAGGTCAGAGAAGGCACTGGATCCCCTAGAATTAGTTATAGGTAGTTGTAGACTGCCTGGTCCTCTGGGAAAGCAGCAAATGTTCCTAACCACGGAGCCATCTCTCCAGCCCAAGTCATAAGCTATTTATCTTTTATTTCTTTCTTGTCACTTGGGAGAAAGTTTTTAAATCAATCAGTCTTTTGAACTTCTATAGGGAAAAAACGATTTTTGTTTCATCAATCGCTTTAAGAAATTTCCAATACTAAAATGGTTGAGTTTAAGTATTTTAAAATTAAAACTTAACAATTTTAAGCATTATAATAATTGAAATTACATGTCTATCATATTAAAAAAAAACAGAAGATGTGAATAGTATAGACAAGTATATCAAAAAGTCCCAATTCAAATCAGTGGGGAGATGAGGAAAAAATTCACCGAACTCCCTGGAAGAGCTACTTCCTATTCTTCACAAGAATGGTTCAGCCCTCTCCCTTTCCCTCTTCACTAGACAAGGTCTCAAGTAGCCCAGGCTGGGCTTAAACTCTAGATCCTCCTGCCTCAATCTCCCAAGTGCTGGGATCACAGGTTTGTAACAACCTGTTACAAACATTTATACACTAAGTAGAAAAGAAGTTAAAAAAATTCAATGCACAAACATCTCTCTACTAGTTCCATAATTTCCACGGGATGGGGATAGAAACCACATAAACTGAGGCAAACAATCCCAAATACCAGGACTCTAAATCTGATTAATATTTATGTAAAACTGAAGCTGTAAGTACTTGAACCTCAGTGGGAAAATGATTAAAGCATAAAACAGGTACTTCTCAATGATGAGAGTCAATAATCAAATACAGAGTTCAGGGTCTCCTCAAAGAAAAGGAGAAAAAAGTCATGATTTTTTCCTTACTATCAAACTGATTTAAAATGTTAAGACTATAGTTTTATCAGATCTAAGAGATTACCACTCATAACATGAAAATTATTTTTAAGATATTAAAACATAAAAAAGGAAGTATGTCTTTGTCTCAGTGGTTCTATTGGCATTGTCATGAGGGTAATCTCTCACACACTGGTGGTCAGCACAAAAACTGACAGCCTTTCAAGTAAGTGGCCTCTAATTAGAGAATTCCTCTCTACGAATTTATCTTCAGGAGTGCGGGAAACACTTGCAGCATTTGAAGTATCTATCGTAGAGAATTGGTTAATTAAATCAATCATGGTTCATTTATACATGAGGCTGCAAAATCAAATACCTTCAGGAAGCACCTTGACTGTATATGACTAAAGCAAATTAGAACACGTGACAATAGGGAGCAGTGACAGGGTGGCAAATCAAAGCATGCATGCCCCATTGAGACAACTCAAGGTAAAATTGAAAAGTATAGTGCCAACAAAGCTTACTTATGGCCCACAAGCAGGTCTGGAAGCCCTGCTCCGTGTTATGGTGCTCAACATGACCCTTGTAAAATCATGTTTGGGAAAGCAAGCAATGGTATGAGGATGCTTACCATGTACTACTGAGAAGGGGAAAACTCAAAGTTACACACATGTGCAGAATGCTCCCTTGAAAAGGGTGTGAAGCAGCAGGGAACCTATTGGTAACTGTTTTTTTCCTCCTTTGTGTTTCTCTTATGTTTGTATTCTCTATACCTTCTGCAATGTCAATATATGCATACTACTAATAAAAGGGCAAGCTCATTTTTAAATGTTTAACACACTGCAAACATGAGGGCAGGGACATGGCTGACTTACACAAATAAACAGAGAAGAAAACTCCATATTACACCAGATACAGAGAATTCAGATGTTCATGCACTTCAACATCAGCCAACAGCCAAACCCTGGTGATGGCTTCCTGTTTCAGTACTCTGAAGTCATCATTATAATCATGAATTTTATAAATACAAAATTCACTTCCTTTATTGCATAATACAGACAGGGATATAAACTCTTGACAAGAGAGTCTTCTTCATCCCAAGGTCCGAATTACTGTGTTATATCTGTTACCCCAAACCAAATGACTATAATACTCTTCTACTGAAACCTGCAACAACATTGGGTGGGGAGGGGGAATCCAGATATCAGAATCAGGTTAGCAGGTAAATACTTTACTTGTTTGTTTGTTTCAGAGCTGGGAATTCCATCAGACCTCACACACGCTAGGCAAGTGCTCCACCATGCACCTGCAGTCCCAGCCCATTTTTAATATGGTTGGAAAGTTCACCTTTTGGCATTCTGGAAAGTGGTGGGTCACAGCACTCCATATGGAATCCTCTATCACAGGAATCACAAAAAAGCATATTATCCTGTAATACAACAGATTAGAGACTAGTTGAGACTGAGACCAATTGCAGAACATCAACACCCAGGTTACCAGGTTAACCTTAAGATGTAATAAAGGAGCCACAATTTCCCAGTGTGGTGTGCCATTACCAATGTTTAAACATTGCAACACTGTGTCGGAGGAAGTGCGCCCTGACTGATCACCTCCCTGGAGCTGGGATGTGAGGCGCGTACTCACTGCATTTTTGCCCTGGACACGACATGCGCTGCACGTCTTGCACTCGATGCACTGCCACCTCAAGGCCTTCACATTTTCAGTTAATTCAGGACAAAATTTCAAACAGGATGGGTGTCCTGCAATAAAAAGTGATTGCTCTACGTCAGTAAATAGTACCTTAGTTTGTAGAACTCTCATTCCCCTCATTCAACGGATGGTCACCGATGCCAACCAGTGAGCCTTAGGAATTTGAAAACAAAATAGGCCAAACTTTAGCTGTACAGACTTACTTTCTCTCTGCCTTCTTTCCCTGCATATATGAAATGACTATATGATACTTTCCCTGAAATAAACCTGAAGCTTATCCCAATTCCAACTATCAGTCTTACAGGACTTTGAAGGCAGTGTGTGTGTGTGTGTGTGTTAGTAGCTCTGTCATTGTCACCAACCTCCACATGCCCATAGCTCTTGAGGATGCTGTGCTGTATATTGGTACCCAGGTTCAAACAACTGATCTCTGTGTGGTGAAATCATATAAAATAAAAAAAAAGGTGGCTAAACATGGTCAAGCTTAGTATGGTGGTGATGCACACCTGTAATGACATGATTCAGGGGTCTGTCCAGTACAAAGCAAGATCCTGTCTGTCTGGAATGCTACAACTCCAAGTGGCTTGATGAATTCACTCATTACATAGTACACAAAGAATATCTACTGCTAGGAAAGGCCAAGAACATCCTACTGCAACCCAGTTCCTGGTTCACTGAAATTCAATTCTAAAAGTAGGGGAACAAACATGGAATCTGAGAGCTGAAGAAGACAGACTCAGACAGAGGAAGTTAAGAAGCCACCCTCAGCAGGTTTCCTCTGCTTTCTTGAGCACTGTGTGGCTCCACACACCCCTGGGCACTTTTTTCTTTTTTTTACCCAGCAACATTCTACATGTCCAGCCTGCAGAAAGCCCCAGAGGAAAAGACCAGGATTCCATGCGTGAGGGAACGGTGTGAGCCGAGGCTCTGGAAAGCAGTTCCATTTCAAAACTAATGGCCCTTTCTCACACAACCCCAAGGAGATCTCAAAACTTGATTATTATTTCTTTTTTTTTTTTTTAAATCTGGTCTTTAAATAGCAAGAACATTAGAAAATCCCATGTGAGAGAACTTATAACCAAGCTGCAAAGGGAAGCCCGAGGGGCAATAAAAAAAGCAGATTCTGTAATTTCAAAACTGTTTTATAATTTCCTGACTTTGGCAGCTTCATTGTTTAAATATGTATTTTGGGTTCCTGCCAAAAAGGTTCTCCTCTCTAAAGCTTAACAGGTGCTTCATAAAATTCCACTCACCAGGAGATTTGGCTTTTTGAAGTAAGAACATTCAATATCAATCATCAATACCATTAATAAAAGTACACAATTCCCTACTCTTAAAAAAAAAAAATCAAAACATCTGTATTTAAGATGTTGAAAACAATCAAATGCTGCCAAATGGTTAGAGCCTCCTCAGGCTTGGAGAGACCCAGGCAGATGCAGCTAACCTCCGACTCTGGTCTCTTCTAAGGGCTTCTCATTCAAATGAAAGGAAGAAGAAGGTTTAATATATAACAGGGGCATCAATCAGCCACCTCAGAAACAACAAACAAGCACAGCTCACTTGTTAGCTAGAAGACTATGCTTGTAAGGGAGAGGCTAGAGGCTACTTTGATCAGGTCACCCCCTCCCCATGTTCAGAGGACTAAAAACTCAACTTTTAAAGAAGAGCAATTTAAATTCTACCTTTAAAATGGATGCTATCGGCTTAAAAATATACCATTTAGTCCTTCCTCCTTCATCACTCCTGTAAGTCATACATCACCAACACAGACGACCTCAATTTCATGCCCTGAGCATTTCTCTACCTGAGACTCTCCTTTTGTGCTTTGTAGCTTAGTCTTCAGTAACTAAGGTAATTCATATCGTATTAGAGCTTATTATTATTCCTACAGATATCCCACAACAGAGACTTTTTAATAATTTTGCCTTTTCAAAAGAATAGACTCTGACCATTTTCAATCAAAAGCAAGGAACATTTTCCCTCTTAATGCTTTCTTCCACTTTAAGCAATAGTATCTCTGACTACTACTATTTAAGCTGCCCTACCAAATTCCAAAATCTTTAGCCCATCTTGGTTTAGGAAACAATCTTCCCTTTACTTAGCTTTAAAGAAATGGCTATAGATCCTTCCAGCTTGACCTTTCTCTGGTTCTGTGAAAGATGCTGAGCAATGGAAAGACATTTCCATTTTCCTTCCTCATATTAGCTTTATAAAAAATAAACAAAAGATTGTAACTATGTCTTCATGTATTGCTGTATAATCTATAGTAATGAGATACTAGGAATTGACGGTATTGATAATATAATCCCTTACCGCCTACTGAGCCACTCCATAAACTCAGGCATTTCTCTAAAATCCTCAGTCTCTATGCTGAGAGAATTCAAGAGGATTTGTTTTTCTGGAAGTGGTTTTATTACTGTGGTTTGCAATGTATCGAATTTTGAGAGCCCCATTAAGCCTTCATTCACTCATTCATTGTTATGCAAGCACATAAGTATTCATAGTTTACAATAGTTTTATCTAGTAAAACCAAAGAAAAATGGCTTAAAATTAGGTAAGCACCAAAGGAGCCACAAACTCGGAAGTCTTTGAGAAGAAAATCCATATATAGTAAATACAATAATGGTCCTAAAAGATGTCTATACCCCAATTCTCACGCCACATAGACAAAGCAACTCTACAGGCATGGGTCTGACTGAGGGATGGACTTCATGAGGAGAAAGGAAGAGATGTTGGTAGCATGCATCAGTCTCCACTTGTCACAGCAGATTCTGAAGATGGAGGAAGAAAAGCCGGAAGCCAAACACTGAGGTTCCCTCTGGGAAGGAGATTCGCCTGACAGCAGGGGCTTAGGAAAAAAGTAAGCAAGTCCTATTATAACCAGCGGACAAGGAGGTGGATCTTCTCTCCCTCATGCTTCCTAGACAGCAGCCCAAATCTGCAGACACCTTGACTGTAACCTACCAAGTCCTACAACTGGACTTCTGTCCTGCAGCTGTTAAAAAAAATTCTGTCTTAAACTACTAAATTTGTGGCATCAATAGAAAAATAACTAAGGGCCAGGGGTGTAGCATCATAGTGGAGTTCCTACCTAGCATGCATGAGGCTCTGGCTTCAAATGAAGGTGGGAGAGAAGGAGGGAAGAAAGCAGAGAGATCAGGAGTCAAGTCCCTCAGGCTGGTTATTTAACTATTGGCATGTGTAAATACTCTTTCTTCAAATGACATTTAATTAGCATTAGAAATAGTAGAAAGAGACATGGTTCCTACCCCTTCAGGTCATGTGATATAACAGAAAGACAAGTATTAATGCACTCCAGAAGCAGAGACAGAAGAACTGAACGTTCAAGACCAGCCTGGGCTACATTGCAAAATCTTACTTTCGACAATGTTTGTCAACCATGCACAAAGCCTTGAGTTCAATCCTCAGCACCACAAATTAAAGGGCTATCGAAGACACCAGCAATGCATCTTAACCCAGGAATACTTTCCTGCTCTTGGAGCAAGTGCTATACCCTGGCACTCAATGGGTTACAGAAAGAGAAGGCATCCACTATCCTAGTCTACACATCATAGCATGGCTAACCCAAAGCCTGCATACTAAACAGATCCACGAATCTCCATTACACACACACACACACACACACACACACACACACACACACACACACA